TATATTCCCATTTTCCTTGGTCTTTTCCTATAATGTCTCATGTAGAAAGGTTATATTATAGTCAATGTCCTATTTACTTAGATTCAATTTTTAGTGTTCTTTCTTATTCCTCAGTATCTCATAAATAATGTACTACTATTCCTTAACATAGTAACAATTACAAGATTTCCCTTTATCTTTACCATACTATTAGAGCAATGTGTTGTACTTGTAGGGTTTAATAAATCCCAAATTTTTGTTTGCCAATAGTTTTCCCAATAATTCCTAGCCATTCCAGGCTATCAACCATGAAGAAGAAGAAAAGATTAAAAGAAATCTTAAAGCCCAATTTCTCTTCTTTAGAAAAAAAAATCATCCGGTTATTTTCATTCATGGTCCTTCATTCATGTTTTTCGAGATAAAAGCAAGTAGATGTATTAGAAAAGGGCACCAAAGAGGTACCGTCCATGTACTAGTCCTTCATTCATGTTAAAGAAGGTACAATATGTATAAATAGAGTAAACTGGATTAAAGGATAATGAAGTAAAATATACCATTTTGCAATTAATTGTAGCTTTCCTTTTCTTTTATTTTTTTAAATAAAAAATGAAATTGTATTGAAGTAAAGGTGTCAAGGGGGCACTGCTTATTTACAAAAAATTTATAGATTGATTAAACAATCGACTATAGAACCAAGATCATCAAAACATTCGATGTTATGTTCTAAAATAGTGAATCCAAAATAATGGAACTAGTTGTCAGTGATAATTTTGAAGTCGACTTCTTTTCCTTCGAAAACACGATTGTTTCTTTCCTCCCAAATGACCCAAATATAGTAAAATGGACGAGTCTAGAAGTTTTCTTATGACAGCTCAATCCTTCCCATACAAGCAGTTCATCCAAAATTGATTTCTGTTTGACCCAAGATAGTCCCATGAGATCAAGAATAATAGACCAGAGGTCGTGAGAGATCGGACATCCCAGAAGTAGGTGTTTACACGTTTCATTGCTATTTTGCAAAAAAAGCATCTATTGACAATTGTAAAGCCTCTTTTCATTAAATTATTTAGTGTAAGAATGTAGCTCTTTGTTGCTTCCCATGCAAAAAAGGAAATTCTTGGAGTGGCACCCGATTTTTAAATAATATTAACTGAAAATTTTGTCTGTACTTGTAGAATATTGCCGACCAAAGTCTTATACAGGAACTTAATTGAGAAATTACTAGATTTGGTGTGTTGCTATATGAGTTTGTCATTACTGTCAGTTAGGTGAATGTGAGACAGAGTTTGGAGCAAATGTTCATATTCCTCAATTTCCCAATCTTGCAAATTTTTAAACACTATCAACTGCCATTGATTCAGTTCGACAGCATCTTTTACTAAAATATTTTTGTATCTAGCAATCACATAAATCATTGAAAATCTTAATTAAAATGTTTCTCTATCATGCCAAATATCTTTCCAGAAACAAATTTTGGTGTCATTGCCGATGCGCCACCTAGAATTATGAAGAACAAGGTTGTTTAGATTCCAAATATCTCTCCATAAACTACACTCATAACTGTTATTTTTTATTTTTGAGTTATCATTGCAGTCACCATTGAACCATTTACTCATAATGATTGATTTCCAAAGCTTGTCGTTGTCATTCCAAAATCTTCATATCCATTTTCCAAGTAGAGCTTTATTTAGTTTGTCAATTGATCTTAGACCGAGTCCATCTTCTTTGAAAGATTTCTTGATTTCTTTCCAGTTCACAAGATGAAGTTTTTTGCTATTGTTGTCACCATCACCCCAAAGAAAATTGCATTGTATGACCTCGACTTTGTTGGCAACACTGCTCTGCTCGGACTATTAAATACAGATAATAGGTAGATGGAAAGATTTGAGAGTGTGCTTTTGATGAGTGTAAGTCTGTCTTCCTTGGATAAGAATCTCCTCTTCCAATTTGCAAGATGATTATGAAACATATCAATTATCGGATCCCAACAGCTTTTATCTTTGAATTTAGCACCAAGATAAGTAATGAGAAGATAAGATAATTTACAATCTAAAAAACGGACAAGTATGTCATCCAAGGAGATGTCCAAAACCACTAATTCGTATTTGTGTAGGTTCACTTTCAGTCCTGATACTGCCTGCAAGCAGAGTAAGACACATCGCAGAAAAATTAAAGAGCGAATATCAGGTTGACAGAAAATGAGTATGTCATTAACAAAAAATTGATGAGTAATCTCCATTTGATTATTTTGTTGGCCAACAGTGATACCTTTTAATAACCTTTTCCAATAATTTATTTAAACCTTCCATAACGATGATGAAAAGGAGATGAGAAAAGGGATCAACTTGTCTCAAGCCTCTGGAAGCGGTGAAAAAGTTCGATGGACCGTCATTAACTATGACCGCAAAACTAGATGTAGAATGCACATTCTAATCTAACCTCTCCATTTTGTAACAAAACCAAGTCTCTCCAGCATGTAGTTAATAAAGTCCCAACTGACATGATCAAAAATTTTCTCCATATCCAGTTTACATAATGTCTTTTTTTGTTATTCCTGATGGCTTCATCCATTACTTCATTTGCAATAAGAATAGCTTCTATAATCTGTCTACCAAAAACAAAAGCATTTTGTGATTCCCCAATAACTTTATGTAAAACAGTAGCAAGTCTTTTAGCTAACACTTTTGAGTGAAGTTTGTATATGCAGCCTATGAGACTTATAGGCTGGAAGTCTTTGATGTTCTTCAGGTTGGGTAATTTAGGTATCATGACAAGAAAAGTAAAGTTAAGAGCTCTTACAAACGAGTCATGATTATGAAAATCATTGAAAAAGTCAATAATGTCGCTTTTGACAACCTTCCAAAAAATCTATATGAATTTGAGATTAAATCAATCCAGCCCTGGGGCTTTGTCCCTATCACAATCTTCAAGCAGTCAAAGATTTCAACTTCATAAAAACTTTTTTCCAATGATAAGCAATCATCCATATCAATCCTGTTAAACATTAAATCATCAAGTTTAGGACGAGAGTCAATGGTTTCAATGTAGAGTTTTTAAAAATACTTACAAGCACCATTTCTTAGATCATTGTTATTTGAAGCAGTTGACCATCAATAGCGAGTTCATCAACAAAATTGACATTCGGCAGTGGTTTGTAAGCATATGAAAGTATTTAAAATTTTGTCCCTATCCTTAAGCCATCTCTCTCTAGATTTTTGTTTCCAAGAAGTAGCTTCCATTTTAAGTCTGATCGCGAGATCAACTTTCGATTTGTTTCTTCTATCAATATCATCAGAAGTGAGATTGCTGAGTTCTTCTAATCTGTCAATACTATCAATTTCATCAATTATATTTGAAATGCCCTCTTTCTCTTGTCTGCTAGTAGTTTTAGACCACTTCTTAATATCTGTTTTGAGTTTTTTGAGCTTCTGAGCAATTCTATAACTAATCGTGCCACTGACTTGAGTGTTTTTCCAAGTGTCATTTACTAGTGCTTTGAAACTATCCAATGTGATCCACTTGTTGTCCAGGCGGAAGGGAATGAGGCCCCATTGGATTCCATCCAAGACCATCATGATGGGAAAATGGTCTGAAGTGAGTCTTGGCATTTCGGGTAAATGTTTGGAAGTGAAATCATTAGATCAGAGGTGATAAGGAACCTGTCAATCCTTGAGAAAAAAGGTTGATCACGCATATTATTCCACGTCCATTTCCCGCCATTAAGTAGGAGATAAGTCAAGTCAAGATTATTGATGAGGGAATGAAAGTCCTCAATGCTAGAATCACTGTAGCTTCTGCCTGATCTTTCAGGTCTTTTTAAAATCATGTTAAAGTCTCCACCAATGATACCTTTATTACCCCAAGAACTTTTGATCATCTAGAGTTCAGTTGTTAATAATGTGCGCTCTGTGTTGTTGCCTCTTCAATAAACACCAGAGAAGCACCAAGTCTCACTGTTAGATAAATTTGAGAGCAGACAAGAGAGCGTGATCTCATCGGGAATAACATTTTGGCATTAGAATCGGTCTTTTCTCCACATGATGATGATGCCACCAGCTGATTCTTTGGCTAGTAAAAAAATGTCAGCCAATATCATTGGGACTCCAAATGCTTCTAATGAATTTATCGCTCACCGAGCTCATCTTTGTTTCTTGCAGACAGATTATGGATGGTTTCCACTTGTTGAGAAATCCTCTAACAGTTGTTCTCTTCTTTGAGTCATTTAAGCCCCTTACATTCCATAAAAGTATTTTGTCAATCATCATTGAGAAATCGAAATACTGCCATTTCCCCTGTTCTTTTTGTTGCGTCCATCATAGTTAATGAAGGTTTGTAGACGTCTCAATTCACGTGAACTCCCATCTTTTTGTCTTTTGGCCCTTTTCAAGGAACATAATGCTTTTGCTCTCCTCATTCTTATTAACTTCCATATCTGCAAGAAGAAGTTGAATTTCTATTTCATAACCAAAAAAAGGGGCACTGAGGAACTTACTTACACAGAAAATATTTTTGTTGATCCACTCAGAGTAGAGGTGAATGTCTCCCTCGTGGTTCCCTTTAAGTATGTGATCCAGGGAATTAATTAATTCTACCAAACTGGTATCTTTAAGAGTTTGCAAAGATGAGGGGTCTGATTCTGGTTCTGTGTGTATTGTGACCAATTAAGTTCCATTGATGTGGATGTGTTCCTCTTCGTGATTTACTGCTGGTCGAAGAAAAAAGCTTGGTTCGGGAGACCAGTCATTAGAGCTTAAGATGCTGGCAGCCATGTTCCAGTGCAACTGTGTTGCATTTGGCTGGTTTGAGGAAGGAGAAGTTTCTTCGTTGTTGGTGAAAATTCCTTCACTATGAACAGCCATAACACTGCGTGTTGGGGTCTGACTCTTGAAATTTGTATTGGTGTTCTGCGCAACTGAAGGTAAAACTCTTTTCTTCCTCCATGAAAATATTTTGTCAATCATCATTGTAGCTTTCCTTTTCTTTTCCAAGAGTTGTACATACAGAGACGTATTATTTAATAAGAAGACAACATAATTCTTCCTGACATGGTATTAGAACCCTAGATTAAGAAATCATAAATTCTTTTACAAATCCTATTCGTCCTTCATTACCAAAATAGAAGAAAACCCTAAAGGGGGCCAACCTTCATAGCCAGTCAATGCAGCAGCCGCCGCCACTGGCCTTCTATGCCAGACGAACAGCCAACCAACTGCATCTAGCTGTGCAACACATCACCATCAGGAGCGCCAACTTGCACAACTGCCCTTACTGCACCAGCCTCAAACAGGCACTGCAGCAAGTCTAGCCTCCTTCAGCCTTCATAGCCAGCCAGCTCTGCAACCATTGCTCTAATGCAACCATGCACTGGGCCTCCTATTGCATCTACCCTAACAGTGCCTCCACCAGAACCGCACACTCCAGACTTTTCCTACCGCGCTCTATCCACCTGCACAGCCCCTGAGCTATGCTCTGCACAGTCACACCTTCACCGCAGCCAGCTTCTCACAAGCCACAACTCTGTCCAGCCAGTACACCTTAACTTTTTCTTAATAATTTGACCTCAATTGCCCAAAAAGACTTTGAATTGTGTCGGAAATTACATCTCAAATCACCAGTACAAATTCCCATATGGAAAATTCTGCTAAAGCTAATAGAGAATTCCAGCTAATCCAGGTTTCTTATCATTTCAATGGCAAGAATTACTTGAATTTACCACAACTGATTCGGACTATTCTAAAGAGAAAAGAAGAAATCGGTCAACGTATGGCACCAGACCAAAACTAGGAAACTCAAATTTTGATGCATGGGATGAAGAGGATTCAATTTTTTTTGGAAACAAATAGGATGAAGAGAATTCAATGATAATGGTCTAGCAATGACACCCAAGATAAACAATGCTGTTATGTTTTCCGCTGCAACAGAAGTGTGAGATTCAATTAGAGAAACCTATTCAGAGGTAAAAGATAAAGTCCTAATTTCTGACTATAAAACTTGGTCAGTAAAATAGGGAAATAAACCAATCACAACGATTACTAGTTAGTGCCGAAGAAAGCAGGAGAAGAGTTATGCTAGAGCCCTGCACTATTTAAAAAGCTCAGCAACGATTACTAAAGACTCTAAACCACGTCAACAGGAAAAAGAACTGATTAACAATGAAAGATCAAGAGAAAATAAGGATAATTTATGGTGTACGTTCTATAAGAAGTCTCGACACACTAAGGATAAATGTTGGTAGCTCCACAAGAATAGAGGTACAAAAACACCCCCAAGAAGTCTCACATATAAGCCCATGTTGTTACCCAACAAGAAGAAGAGAAGTCCTCTAAACTGAGTGAATTTCAAAGTCAAAATTGAACGATTAAAAAGCATACTCGAGGACCTAGAGAAACCCATAGGTAAATGTATATTTGCACATTCAATTATTTTTTCTCACTCACATGGTTTAAATGTCTCAAATCCATCATTTGAGAAATCAGGGATTATATACTCAAGGACCACTAATCATATGATCAATTACTAAAGAAAATTTTTACAGTTATTTCCATGTCCAAGTAATAGAAAAATTGTTACAGCAAATGGATCTTTGAACACCACTCCAAGAATGGGTACCATCAAAATTAGTCCTAGTCTGGTTCTTGAAAATGTGGTACATGTTCCTAAACTTTGTACCAAACTTTTATCAGTTATAACAAATGTCCAATTTGGCCCTAAACTTTGTCCTACATTCTTTTATAGATCAAGATATCACCTAAAAATGCTAAGACAAACTTATGCAAGTATGGTTGAAATATTGCATTCATCTATGCCTGGAAAGTCAAAGGTACATTAGTAAGTCCAAACAAATATGACCAATAATTGGAAATGCCCATGTGTATGCAGAAAGCAATTTTTTCAATGTTAGCTAGATGTATTCGAATTTGATGATAACATAATAAATGTCCAATAAGGAGAAGAATTTGGCTCCATATAGTTCCTTGAGTAATTCATCAACCACTGGGAAAGGAAATTTAACCATGATTGTCCTTTAGTTTAGTGTTTGATAATCGATATAGAACCTCCATGTTCCATTAGCTTGCTTTAGTGACAATATTGAATAAGAGAATTGTGCTTGATTGGATCCGATAATTCTTTGTTTGAGCATCTCTCCTACTTGCCACTTGATCTCATCTTTTGACAACTTTTATAATGGTAGGATTTTACCACCAAATGAACAGAGCTAACTCCCAACACAAACTTGTGATCATGGAAAATTTCTAGAGGTATCCCACTGGGCGCGGCACAAATGGCCTCAAACGTGAAGTACCCCATGACCACACTCTGGTACTAACTTGTCATGTTCTCGAAGTTGGGATCTAGTCATAGGGCCTATTAACATAAATTCTATAAGCAATGAAGCTGCTCACTTCCTAAATTTTTCAGTCTTGCACCTACGGTGAGGCTCGTTTAAGAGAACCTCCAATTTTTTAGAGAATAAATTTGTTTGGATCAATAGTTGGTAATTGTTCATAATAATAGGTATATTTATAGGGAAGTTAATCAAATTTGACCTCGATTACAACTTTAAGAACTATGGTCCCGATTTTATTCTGATTCTTTAATCTACAAATACTTATTAAAAATCCAGAAAGGATTCTAACTCTTAGTGATTTCTTGATGAAACCGACTTACTACCTAACTGCAATCTCTTCTCAACCGAATTCCTTTGCTTTACTATTGCTTCCATGCATCTCATTCTTATATGTTTTTCCAGTAAACTTATCTTGTAAAACCAGCTACAGGACCTTCTCTTTGTGCGATGCAACACATGAATTTCAATTCTTGAAAAATCATTCTATCATAGCGAGGATAATGCCAAAGTTTTACACTAGGAACATTATTTTGAAGATTTTTGTTGACATTGATAGAGTTAATCCCAAAGCACAAACATCAAAGTAAGCGATTGTTTAAATAACTTTATTTTGTAAACCTCCGAAAGTTTGTTGATTGATTATGTCATTTTTTTGGTAACAATGTAATCTAACCTAATGCAATTTGGCGTGCCAACCCAGGGCAATTAAGAAAAAGAGAAGAAACTGACCAATGGGTCCAACTTGAGATGAGCAACAGACTGCCGAGATATTCTCCGGAAACGGTGGCCGGCATTGCCATTATCCATTGCAGAAAGCACTAGCTCCCTCTGGAGTTATGAATATTTGTACTTCCAAGAAGGAACAAAACCTATGCCATTACAACGCCAGCGCTTCCAAATCTTCTGCAACACGTAAAAATAAATTTCAAAATAGTCTTTGAAAACACTTAAAATGCATGTAAATAGCATTCATCTTAGCTCCAAAGGGAAGCATGCAGATAGCGAAGGAAATGAAAAACAACTCAAGCAAATAGCAATGCTAGTAGATCTGAAAAAATGTTCACACAAACAGCACCTATAACGAACTTATTAATCTTCCGATGCTGAGAAGAAAATAACGAGAATGAGAAAAGCTATATAACGTACTGATACATGTGCGAGGAAAAGATCTTATTGAAAGGGGAGGGAATGAAATATACACCTGTTGTGAAATCAACGCAATGTAGTAAGGGAGTGATGTAATTTAAACTAACAGAGCAAAGATCTCGGTATCTGAAACAAAAAAAGGTGGAGATAGGGAGCTCGTTTTCTGGAGACCTGATTCTTCGTATATGAGTTGGACACGGAAGAGGAAGAGAGCAGGAGTCAAAGTAAGTCCACGAAGTCCGCACGGAGCCCTGGATAGGCGCGTCGATGCCGAAGGATAACCTTAACGGATCGGATCGAATCGGATCGAATCGGATCCCCAATTTTAAACATTTTTTTCACTACGTTTCATTTCGCTTCTAAGAAAAGCAATACTTCTATATTATTTGTTTCTTTCTCTTCAGTCCCCATCAATAGGACCAACCTTATATATATATATATATACACATATATATATTGTACAAAAATGATAAACAAGACAAATTATAAAGTGAATATACTATATTATTTTGAAACATAATTTTGTTATTCTCAACCTTTATCATATTTTTATTATTATTTCTTAAATCGTATTTTTAATTTTTAAAAACATATTTTTATTTTTAATAATTTTGTGATCTTAAAATAATTTCCTATAATTAATAACTACTAATTTTCTCTTGATTTTCATACATTTATCATTAGTATATATTCTAATGCATTTAAAATTTAAAATATTAAAATAATAAATTATTTAAAAAATAAATCTAAACTAATAATTAACCATAATTAGAAAAGAATATTTGAAATCTAAAATGAAAGTTAAACACACAAGTCATTTTGCGTAAAATTTATGTTTTTCTAATTGTGTTTAACACTTGTAAATGCAATCATATAAATAAAACATTTAATATTTACTGTTTAAATGACATTTATGATTTAATTTGAAAAAATAGTATAAAATAGTTTGATAAATATAAGTCAAATAAGCTGGTCAATAATTTATGTTTTATTCGTTTAAAAGTTATTGTAAGTAGTAGGTTGATTTAAAATAAAGTCTGAAACTAGCTCGTACTATACTGGCGTATAATGTACAAAATGAAATATGGTTGTATTATACATATAGTTTTGTTGGTTGTATTATACATATAGTTTTGTGCTTCGTATATATTTGGTAACATAATTGGAAGTATGAAGGAGCGGATATTTTATATTTTCTAATAAATTATGCATGATTAAGTTGATGTTTATATTTTAACTGTAATATTAACATTTTTCTTCAAATCGTAATGTTTATAGTTTATTTATTTTTTGATGAAAAATGAAGAACAGAAAAGCAACTACTTATGATTTTTTAACACTAGTTTGATTAATGAAGACAATCAATGACCCTTTAAGAGAGTTCATTAGGCTCATGTTTAATGATGGGTAATTAATATATGAAAATGACACTGATTGGATAATTTTTTTATGTTTGGATGATTGTATGTTGATGTATGTTAATGACATCTATTTTATTTTGATTATAGGATAGTATGAATATAGTTTCAGTCAAATTATTAATTTATCTATATTTTATTATATGTAATAGTAAATAGTATATAAAAAGTACATAATGAAAAATAAATACATTGTATAATAATATAATTAAATTTGTATTTAAATAAATGATTATTACATATAATTATTAAATTTTTATATTTAATAAAATAAATAATTACTATTTATATTATCACATTAATTTAATTCAAATAAATATAAAATTATTTACATATTAAAAACAAATAGTTACAATTATATATTATTATATTAAATTTAAAATTATTTCAATAAATAAAAAATTAAAATATATTTGAAAGAATAATTTATTTATGAAAGTATGACATAAATTAAACATATTTTATGATGGTATAACATAAAATATAATTATTTATCCGTCACATACCACCGATTTGATGGTTCTTAAAATTCATCCAAAATGTTTCAGTCAGATATTGTTTGCTACTATATTATCATGTTAGAAGTTGAAACAAATAAGATTTTATCACGTTAGTAAAGTACCATACATTAATTGACTACCATTTACCACTATCCAAACTGATGATAAAAGAGTAAAACTTAAAGATTTTTTACCTAATTGTCAAAATAATCAATAATAAATTTATATATGCCAATAAATGTGACAATCGAAAAAATAACAGAACTAGACATGAGATTTGTTATATCTTGCATAATATCAACATGAGGATGATACCATAAATCGTCATTAGTTATTCAATTAATTGTTGTTAATACATCACATTCCTGGGACACTTAATAGTACCATTTGACTTATGCAATATGAAATCAAAACTAGATCCCTGATCATTTAGCTCGAATTACATTCTATCTTTTAACATCGATAATAAAAACTTATTATAAAAATCAAAATATATTTATTCGCATATTGTCAACACTATACGTCCATTTAGGTAAATATTAGTATTCATGGTGATTTTTGTAGCACCCGGAAAGGAGGAAAAAAAAAAAAAAAAAAAAAAGGGGGGGCCACGTCAGCAACCACGTCAGCAGGCCCGGTCAGCAGTCCCGGCCAACCGGGGCCTGCCACGTGGCAAGACCGCGTCACTCCGAAAGGAGCCACGTTGGCGATCCGCGTGGGTGCGATCCGACGGCCCAGATCAATCACGCGATCGGACGGCCCAGATTCAATCGCACGGACGGCCCAGATTCAATCAAAAATAAACGGCCCAGATTAAAACGAAATGAACGGCTGTGATCAAAAGGCAAGGGGTTATAAATAGAACCCCCACACCAGACCACAAACCCTAGCCGCCCGCCGCTCGCCGGAGAAGACGAACCAGAGGCCGACCGCCGCTACCCGCCGCCGCACCGGGGAAATTTCCGACCGCCGATCGAGGTAAATTTCATACCCTCGACTCGTTTTTTGCCTCCGACGAGGTCCTTTCCCGGCCTTCGTTCGATGCAATTTTTATATCACCGTGATCACCATTCTTTTCTCTACAGGTTGACCGAAGCCGAATCACCAAAACACGAACCTCGCCGGAGAGCCGCCGTACCCGAGAGCGCCGCCGCCGGTAAGCTCCGCTTTTCCGTGATTTTTGGCCCCCCGAGGGCCTTAGGGTTGTTTTCTGACAAGGACCAATGCGAGTGTGGCCGAAAACGGCCTAAAACAGCCAACCCGAGGCGACTCGCCGCCGCCAGCGGCGGCGCCGTCGCCGGAGCACGACGGAGCCGCCGTGCCGGAGTTGCGATTTGGTCCGAAAGGGGCCCTGGGCCTAATTTGGATTTTTTTTGGAACACGTGCAGGTACTGTTAGTGTGTTTCAGTTCCCCGGGAAAAATTCAGGGAAAATTAGGGACGGCCTGCAGGCGCACTGTGAATCGTATTCGGATCCCGAAAACAAGTAAGGACCCCTCACCCTATTTCCTATCACGGTATTAAAGTTCAAAATGATAAAACGGTATTTCTTGAATTAACGAATGTGTGAAATTGCTTAAGGTGGCTAATGAAGCCCGAGTCTAGTGTGATTGGTGATTTACTGTTATTTAGCCTGTTTACAGCTTTAAATGCAAAATGAGGTTTGATGTGTTCATTTTACAGATTTGTGTGCAAATACTACGTTTTTATTAATCATGGGTTGAATGACTGAAAAACTGATACTGTATGTTGTCTGTTCGGCATGAATTACTGTTTTGCTTGTTTGTATGTGAATTGATGATGCTGACTGAGGAAAAGGAAAATGAAAGATTGTGTAGACTGATAATTGTATTATGAGGGTCAGCCTAACTAGATATCCTGGGAGATGGTGGACGGACCAGGTCCGTAGGGAACCCTACCGGGATTGTGGTCTCACATGCCGGACGGGGTATGGAGATCTTATGGTTTTGGCACCCATATCGGACGGGGTATGGGGACGGCCCGTTTCACCCTCATACCGAACGGGGTATTGAGGTTTATGGTTTTGGCGCCCATACCGGACGGGGTATGGGGACGGCCCGTTTCACCCTCATACCGGACGGGGTATTGAGGTTCATGGTTTTGGCGCCCATACCGGACGGGGTATGGGGACGGCCCTGGAAACTGATTATGAATGTTAAAGGTTAACGGGTAGCGGAACCCCTATGGACCCCCACGGATACTAGTAGGCTGGTAAATGAGAAAAAGATATGTTGTACAATGATTGAATTACAAGAGGCGTGATAAGTGTTATGTTTTACAGCTTATATTATTCCATGATTATGATAATGTTATTATTTTTCTTATATTGTTTTCATAAATTCCACCGAGGTAAGTGGATGGTGAAGGTTTTCATGTTAATAAACGAGTTTATTGTAAATTATGCTCCATTGGTCTTTTTGTGTTTTTCTACCCACCTTTACCTCCGTGACGGTGAGATATCGTGATGTTCTTACTGGGCTAGTGTAGCTCACTCCTTATTTAACCATTTCAGATCAGGAAGACATGGTTCCCGAGCCCGTTCCGCAGGAGGACGACGAAGGGGATGCCTAGAGACTCTGTAGTCATACTCATAGTTTTATTTTCGAGTTTCTCTCTTAGTTAGTTTAATCTTTTATATTTTAAGTACGTTTTTGGTTTTTCGTGTAAGGGATGTTAACTGAAATTTTGATCTCGCTTCCGCATTTGATATATTTAAATACTCATTTCATTTTAATATTTCCGGGGCCGTTTCAATTTTAATCAAACTAGTAATGAGAGAACGTCAATGCATATATTTCTATTTGTTATTATTTTAATACGACTGAAATATGACATGATTATATATTTCATAAAGCTTTGCAATCCGACAAGCTTATGTTGAAACCTATATTTTATTTCTTCAAACCCAAAACTAATTCTACTATTTTCTTTCATAAAACTCGTAATGTAACAATGAAAATAAATATTTATTATAATTTTATTTAATAAGATTATTCGTCTATAGATTTTGTTATAACCAAATAATCAGATACACATACATAAAATATTAATTATAATCAATCGAGTAATAAGAAACACACAAAATCTCTAACTTATATATGATCACTAATATAAAAGCATTCTCTGCCAAATTAATTCAATGTGATAGAAGAACCTTGCTTTGTTCATCTTCGAGTGAAGAGAAATCCTTACTAACTTAAGGTACTTATATTCAAATATTTAAAATAACTTATTTTATCTATTTGTAAGTTATAGTTTTGAGAATGATGCTATTTTTCATTATTTTAAAAAATAAATTATGATGATGATTTATAACTTACATATATACATATACATAGTTCATACACTTTTCAAAAATACATGTTTTTTTGGTCATCTAAATTAACATGGTATAAGTTTTTAAAAATATTTTACTCCTAAGTATTTTTAGTATGAAATAGTCAATTTTCATTAATAAATTATCTTTTAAATTTTGTAAATTGATTCACTTTACAATTTTCAATTTAAAAATTAAGTTTTTGTAATTTATTATTCAATTTTTTATTTATATTTATCTTCACATTTTATTCGTTCTATGAAATAAAAACATAAAATAATTAGGTGATAAAAAATTATTATGTACTGTTTAATTCACTTAATCAATAATATTACATTATAGTAGTGATTGCCGAAAAAGTTGTAATATTGATTTATGGCTAATGGTCATTATTAATTAAGATTATAATCTTATCTATAATTATTAATTTTACTTTATATCTATTATTTGATTTAGTATTTATTTATTTTAATTAGTTGAAGTTTATTAACTTTTAGAAATTAATATAATAAAAAATACAAAATAATATTGATAATTAAAGATTTCCAGACTAATTTACATTAAAATTTACAATTTTATTAAATTAAATAATATATAGAAATTAACATATAATATATATACAATTCTATTAATGTAAAAACAAGTCAGACCATCCGGGTTGGGTCCCACAAGAAACCTTGAAGCGTGACTACCATCAACGAGTTGTCGATTTTATTTTCAATTTCCTTTAAATTCCATATTCAAAATTTTCACGGAAAGCGTGGAAGAATTTAAAACAACGAGAGTAATGGAAAGGCGTGAACATCATTCGATGTGGGAGGCGAATTCACATCTGAAATTAGACTTAAATAAATACATCCAGTTGATTGTTCTTTCAAGATTTTCTTTTATTAATTATCCATATTCAACTATACCGCACGAACATAATAGAATTAGTTTATATCGAAAGGATGAACACGAAGAACTGCTACTACATATTGGTACAGTATACAATAAGCTATTCATATATAGTTTCAATGACATAACAAAGTAGAAGAAGAAGTCAAAAGCGAATGCCGAAAAAAGCAGGTAAATTTGACCCGACCCAGTTCATATTCTTTTCCTTTTTTGGCTAAAAGTAACATATACAGATATAGCTAGCTATATTTGCGTAATGTTGAATATTGAATGATTGTTGAACACTGAGCACTGTGAGGCGGGCCTCCATAGCTGCCTTCCTGCACTCTTGGGACACGTGGCCAACCCCACCGGCGGCACCATGCAATTATAAGACAAGCACAACGCAGCCGTACCGGGCAATTCCGACCCGGGATCCAACGGGAAACCCGATAGATAATTATGCTGCAAGTATAATGTTTGGGTTTTACCCTCTAAAACGCTCTTAACGTACTCCTCTGGCACTTTCCCGATCAGACGGTTGTTATTCAAGAACAAGCTCTCAACTTCTGCTAGTACAGGTGATAATTCTCCGGTTAGGAAGTTATGACTAAGGTCAACGATCGACCCTCCACCGTATGATATAGTTGATCCTGTGTTGACCGTTCGTGGGACCCACCCTGAGAAATTGTTCCGTTGCAATAAGAGTGTTGAGAGGGAGGGATGAAGGAGGGAGTTTGGGATGGGCCCATTAAATTGGTTCATGCTGAGGTCGAGGTAGATTAACTCCGTCAGTGATTCCAATACGTTGATTGGGCCCCACATTGTGTTTTCAGATAACGACAGGTAACGGAGTGATAGCGGTAGGGATCGCGGCAACGGTCCGCTGACTCTGTTCTTCTTCACGTCTAAATGCAGCAGCTGAGCCGACACACTGGTTAATTCGCCGGATAGCTCGTTAGAAGCTAAAACCAGTACTTTTAACTCGGGCAAAGCGGTGAGACTCGGTGGGATTGACCCAGTGAGCTGGTTGCCGTTGAGATCGAGCGTGTGCAAGTTTTGAAGAGCGGAGAGAGAGGGAGGTATTGGTCCAGTTAATCGGTTATTGGTGAAAGAGATTACCCGGAGATTGGTGAGTTGACTCAGTTGGGGCGGGATGGAACCGGCGACAAGCCCGGGGAAGAGAATGAGTTGGGTGAGTTGGGTGAGGTTGGCGAGAGAAGGGGAGAGTGAGCCCGCGAGGCCACGGGAGGTGGAGAGTCCAGTGCCGAGTGTGAGAATGGTGACGCGGGAGAAAGAGCAGGTGATGCCGGCGAAGGAGGAGCAGGGATCGGGTGCGTCAAAGTTCCAGGTGGAGAAGAAATGGGTACCTGGAAGTTCAGTGAGAGAAGCCTTAATGGCTGCTAGTGCGGCAAGATCAACTGGGGAGATGTTCTGGTGAGGTGACTGTTGTTGAAGTGATAAAGCAATGAGATTGAACAGAGGGAGGAGGAAGAGGAGAAGAGAATGGAATTGGGCCATGAGCAGAAGACAAGATGGAAGATGTGGTTTGCAAAAAATGAGCAGCAGGAAATGTTTATTTATAAATAATAAATAATAGTATGAGTTGACAGCGAGAGTGAAGAGGTGAGTCATAATATATTTGATAGGAAAATGAGAGGATCCCATGCGAGAATATGTAGATATGGAGACAAGAAGGGGGCTTCTCTTGTTTAGGACCAGAAAGCTTTCATTTTGGCCCATAATTTCCAATACCATCAACATCTAATCACGTGAAAACTACCTGTATATGTATATAACTCTATACTGGTAATTGTTTATATATATATATGTTTGTATATAAACTATAAAAGTATTTACATGTATGGGGGGAGAGGGAAAAAGAGAAGATGAAATGAATAGAAAACACATTGAGTTTGGGTGGAATTGTAACCTGTAAAGCTGTATCAAAAGTAATCACTGGTACCATCTTCTTTAATTCTTACTTAATCACTTCTGCCATACCTCCTAGCTCCTTCTCATACCACAATCAGATCTCTCTCTCTCTCTCTCTCTCTCTCTCTCTCTCTCTCTATATATATATATATATATATACATACATATATTTCTCCTGTCATTATGTATTATATTTAACTAATTAAAAAAATCAGCTTGATTTCATGTTAATTTAGTTTTAAGTTGCGTCAGTCCAAATCAATGGAAGTGGCATCAATATCAAGTAGCTGGCAGTTTCCTACGTAGACAAAAGAGTCAAATTCACTTATTGTGTCGGTACATTAATACATACATAAATACCAACACTTCATGGTTGTCTTCTACTACTTCATGTTTTAAACATTATTCAAATTTACGGTCTTATGTTTTTTAAAATAATTAAAAATAATTAAATAACAAGCTCAGTATGAAAAAACTAGAGTAAATAATTTGACAAAAAATTAAATCACAAATAATAAGTTATCAAAAAAATTATAAATTTTTTAAAAAATCTCGAACCGTCTCTACTGGGAGACAGTGAAGCGAATTACGTTGCGAACAACTTTGTTGTTTATGATTAACGCATTTTATTTGGTGTTTATATATTAAATGATTAATCTTTTATTTAAACTTTCGTCAACTTCTTGGTATTTAAAAAAAATATTTTCTTTTATTATAAATTATATAAAATAGGATTTAAACTTAATTATTCTCATAAAAATTACTTAAAGTAATTATGTTGCCAAGTACACGTGTATATAAATAAATTATATATATATATTACCCATCAAAAGTTTGGGACATATGTAGTGTAGTGGGGAGAGACAAGAGGGTGCACATGAGATTTTGGATTCTTATTTGCATATGTAGTGTAATCTAGTGCGTATGTATACTTATTTATTATAAGCAGCACTGGCTTTACTTGATCAAGTTTCTTTAAATATATATATATATATATATATATATGTATTTTCTCTATCATAAAAA